GTGCCATAGCGCAATACAGTTTTAGTGAATTTGGGCATAAAGACTCGCTCCCGTTTTTAAACTGATTCCATTCTAGTAACAAAATATTCACTTATTTCATTCGTTCATTCATTCGTCCTTTAATTCGAATATTCATTCTGATTTTACTTTAAGGGTTCCTCGGATGTATTGTTTGTTTAATCCTAAGCTATGGTAGTAATAATTATTAATACCTGGTGAGCGAATCGCCTGATATCTTATAACCTAAACGTTCAGCTGCTTGTGCAAATATTACATATTAAATTACATCGAAAAATAATGTAACAGCCTACTCTCGAAAGCAGAAAACAACAAATCAGCACGATTTTACCGTTGCTTCTTTGATGATTGATTTCCTCGCTTCAAAGTCCAGTTGAATATGGCATCTTTGGAAGTTTCGCTTAAGGAATCCAAGTGTTTAGAAGCTACAAAACAGCAACATAAGCCAAAACGAACATGGCACGACAGCGACATTTTGCTACAGTGTATAACAACAACAACAGCCTGACACTTTACGTGTTATTATGATTTACAGCAGGATGAGAACGCTAAAAAATGAAAAATGACCGTACGTGTTTTGCTGCTACGGAATACAACCGTGTTATTGAGCATTGGAAAATGAAATACAGAAATGTACGTTGTGCAGCCTGCAGACTGAGAATCACGTTGCATAATTCATCTTGAGGCGTCCATTTTTTCACATTGCGAGTCAAAGCATGTATGACTCAGATGCATTTCGCATTTGTTCCGTAGTAGCTGATCACCGTTCCTGATCGCACGTTCAAGTGTGCGAATGTAGGGCTATGGGAAGTGGACGAACTGCTGTATTTAATCACCGTATTCAGCCAGATATATTCTGTTTAAGAGTCGACATATGTCTAAGAAATGTAGAACTGAAATCTGAGGGAATGATCTCCTGACTGACTTTGTCCTGATTTAATTAGTGCCCGCCATTCCACCCAACTTATTTCATAAGTGGAAACTAACACTGCAGTAAACTGACGTCCTTCATGTCGTCGAGCGGTAAGCTGATCGAGAAAAATTGAAGGCCGATTTTTGGGTACCAGGTAATTACCTCCTCAGCAAAAATATACGACAAGTTACCAAAGCCATCGAAACAAGCAAGGCGATCATTCGATTTAACAATGGTGCGATGGTGCCGTCGTTGGAGATAATGCAATAGAACTAATTTAAACCGCATTCTTTACTGTTTTACCTCCTTGCTTCACTTGCAGATTTCCTGAAGGATTCTGGGTCCGTAACCGCAGAAAGAATAATTTGGCGACCAGGGCTTTTAAAGTCTGCATTAATTCTCACAGAAAATACGATTAAATCCTTGGTCCTGAAAATCTTTATCCCCTGACTTAACGATATAGACTAATAGGCAAGGTGGACGAAACGCGGAGATAATATTCGGCAAATAGTATCCTGACTTAGTGAAAGAACAACATTCTGCGCTACTGGGATAGTTAAAATATGGAAACTGCAAAGCAAGCAAAGTGGTCAAATCTTGTCACTATTTTACTGAATGGAGGATGACGTCTGCCGTTGTCTTTGGTCCAGGTGTGCAAGTACTTGAGGGCAAAGGTAAATAATGGGACTATTCCCAGCCAATCGAAGAACCGGCTTATTAATCTAACGCAAATAAACGGAGAGTTGCCCGAAGTTCTCATATGGAAGGTTGGAGACTGTTGACGCAAGGTTTTGGTAGCCATTGTGATTAGTATGTAACGAGGTCTTCTTATTCAGACACTATTAATTGATTTTCAGGCAAGGCAAACAATTCGACCGGACTTTAGTGATATTCTGAGGCAAATACAGATCAAAAGATCGGACAGTATGAATTTAGGACCATAGAGTTCCACCGCGAAGTGAAATATTCATCATACACAGCATTAACATAACATGTCTGCTCGAATAAAAGGAAAAATGGGAAGACGAATAAATACAAGAGTCTCTGATGTCATTTGCCGAGTGAAGATGTTAAAGTAACAATGGCCATGGCACGTTGTAATAATACCAACTGTCGCTAGACCAGAGAGACGTTAAACTGGGTTCCAGAAGAGAGCAAACTCCCTGTAAGAAGTTCGTTAGATCAAAATGAATTAAAATGGCAGATAATGGAAAGTAATGGCAAAGTCTTCTAAAGGCCTTCACCCAGAAGGATCGCCAAAGGCTGACGATGATGAGGCAGCAGAAACACAACAGCAAGATTTGATAGACCTCAACCAACGTTTTTGCCACATTTCGTTGTCTTTCATCAGGATACATAAACTCTGTATTTTATTTAATGGCAAACCGTAGTGATGCTGCATTTCAGTATGAGTATTAACGCGCTAACGAAGTACAGCATGTCCAAAAAATTTGAGTAACAAGGTATACCACGTGTATTTAATTCACAGAGCGTCCATGCAGATGAGAAGGACGAAACTGTTGGACAAGTGGATTAGAAATTCTGAACCGCCGGTCACCACCATCCAAGCTTGACAACCATCGCCTGGACGAAATTGTTCGTGTCAAGCATGCCGTTATACTGGGGTACTATTATACCCTTTTTGCTATAATCAGCATGGGCTGCTTGCATGCGCAGCTTCGTCTGAAACGACGCTAAATTTAGGTCTAGCCATGAATTCCTGTCGGATTATATCTCGGAGTGGAGTACGGTTGAGTGCATTATCCATAAGTGCCTGAGACCCTCAGAGGCTTGTCGTCAAAGCTCTAAACGGCGAATCACAGTGCAGATCACCTCGTGACTGTAAGGTAGGTTCATATAAAGAAAGA